ACACCCCCCCCCCCCCCCCCCCCCCGGAATTCTCAGTTCCGGGGGCCACCAATGATGGTGTCACCTTTACTTAATATATTCCCAATGATATGGACTAAAGAAGCAGCTTGGAAAGCCGACTGTAATAGGAAAAAAACTACCTTATGGCTGAGTGGGAGGGGCAGAGACACCAACGGAAGCGAAATTCCACCATTGTAGGAGGGGCAAAGATACCCATGGCAGATAAATCTTCCCATTGTGGGAGGGGCTAAGACACTCTACTGGAGGGAAATCTCACCATTGTGGGAGGGGCAATGACAAAACTACTGGGGGAAATCTCACCATTGTGGGAGGGGCAGGGACACAAACTACTGGGAGAAATCTCACCATTGTGGGAGGGGCAGAGACACAAACTACTGGAGGGAAATCTCACCATTGTGGGAGGGGCAGAGACAAAACTACTGGGGGAGATAGCACTATTGTGGGAGTGGCAGAGACACAACCTGTTGGGGGAAATCTCACCATTGTGGGAGGGGCAGAGACACAAACTACTGGGAGAAATCTCACCATTGTGGGAGGGGCAGAGACAAAACTACTGGGGGAGATAGCACTATTGTGGGAGTGGCAGAGACACAACCTGTTGGGGGAAATCTCACCATTGTGGGAGGGGCAGAGACACAAACTACTGGGGGAAATCTCACCATTGTGGGAGGGGCAGAGACACAAACTACTGGGGGAAATCTCTCCATTGTGGGAGGGGCAGAGACAAAAACTACTGGGGGAAATCTCACCATTGTGGGAGGGGCAGAGACACAAACTACTGGGGGAAATCTCACCATTGTGGGAGGGGCAGAGACACAAACTACTGGGGGAAATCTCACCATTGTGGGAGGGGCAGAGACACAAACTACTGGGGGAAATCTCACCATTGTGGGAGGGGCAGAGACACAAACTACTGGGGGAAATCTCACCATTGTGGGAGGGGCAGAGACACAAACTACTGGGGGAAATCTCACCATTGTGGGAGGGGCAGAGACACAAACTACTGGGGGAAATCTCACCATTGTGGGAGGGGCAGAGACACAAACTACTGGGGGAAATCTCACCATTGTGGGAGGGGCAGAGACACAAACTACTGGGGGAAATCTCACCATTGTGGGAGGGGCAGAGACACAAACTACTGGGGGAAATCTCACCATTGTGGGAGGGGCAGAGACACAAACTACTGGGGGAAATCTCACCATTGTGGGAGGGGCAGAGACACAAACTACTGGGGGAAATCTCACCATTGTGGGAGGGGCAGAGACACAAACTACTGGGGGAAATCTCACCATTGTGGGAGGGGCAGAGACACAAACTACTGGGGGAAATCTCACCATTGTGGGAGGGGCAGAGACACAAACTACTGGGGGAAATCTCACCATTGTGGGAGGGGCAGAGACACAAACTACTGGGGGAAATCTCACCATTGTGGGAGGGGCAGAGACACAAACTACTGGGGGAAATCTCACCATTGTGGGAGGGGCAGAGACACAAACTACTGGGGGAAATCTCACCATTGTGGGAGGGGCAGAGACACAAACTACTGGGGGAAATCTCACCATTGTGGGAGGGGCAGAGACACAAACTACTGGGGGAAATCTCACCATTGTGGGAGGGGCAGAGACACAAACTACTGGGGGAAATCTCACCATTGTGGGAGGGGCAGAGACACAAACTACTGGGGGAAATCTCACCATTGTGGGAGGGGCAGAGACACAAACTACTGGGGGAAATCTCACCATTGTGGGAGGGGCAGAGACACAAACTACTGGGGGAAATCTCACCATTGTGGGAGGGGCAGAGACACAAACTACTGGGGGAAATCTCACCATTGTGGGAGGGGCAGAGACACAAACTACTGGGGGAAATCTCACCATTGTGGGAGGGGCAGAGACACAAACTACTGGGGGAAATCTCACCATTGTGGGAGGGGCAGAGACACAAACTACTGGGGGAAATCTCACCATTGTGGGAGGGGCAGAGACACAAACTACTGGGGGAAATCTCACCATTGTGGGAGGGGCAGAGACACAAACTACTGGGGGAAATCTCACCATTGTGGGAGGGGCAGAGACACAAACTACTGGGGGAAATCTCACCATTGTGGGAGGGGCAGAGACACAAACTACTGGGGGAAATCTCACCATTGGAGCCTCCGAGAGATATAAGAAACCTGTAAGCATTCCAACCTACCGCTGGCCATCCCAAACTATGATCTTCCAGTGAGTAGGCCTTTAAAACAAAATTGCCTCACCCGCCAAGCCAAATTTCTGCCATTGGTTGCTGGTGACACGATGGGGGAATTTGAGATTCGGGGGGATGGGGGCTCAATAAAACACAACATCAGCCAGAATGTGCGATGTGAACCACAAGGAGATATTGCACTGACTCCCGCAACCTCCGTCCAATCACTATTTACACAGCAGCCCTGACGTACGCGATGGGCGAGGAAAGGGGGGGGGGGCCGCCTCGGCGCTCTCCTCCACAACCAGTTTATCAGAGCCATTTTCTTTTCTCTCCTCTTCTCTTAAAATAATCGCTTTACCTGCATAAACGCATTCTTAAAAATCTGCGGATGTCCGTGAAGTTGGGAGCGGAATTTTTCTTTTTTTTTTTTACAAGAATTGCCGAGGAAAAGAAATAAAGAAAAAAAAAAAGGAACCTTATTACAAAAAATGGATCCTGTGCCGTTCAACTACTTCATCTTCTCAGTCCACAGCAGAGACCTTTCGCTGCTGTTTTTGTTTATTTTCAACGCGGTACTTTTTTTCCCAGTTTTTTTTTCTTTTTTCACTCAACATTTAAAAAATAAATCCAGCGCCCAGCTGCGGAGGTCGGAAGCGGAAACGTACCCTGCCCGCTTCGGTAATGCGCGTGTGTGTGTGCAGATCCAGGAATGTTCCAGTTTCGCCGCCTCTCCGGGTGGGGGAAGAACGGTTGGGTTTGAGTCCAGAGGTCCTTGCTGGTTAAAGCTTGGGCGATCTGACTGGATTTAACAGTTCCGAGATTTTTTTTCCCCCCTGAAAAATGTCCGTCTTGGTCCAGCAGCAGTAAAAGGAATTTTTGGAGTCCTTCGCGAGGTGCGGAAAGAAAAATGGGGGGGAGGAAGGGGCTGGACCCGATATCCCCTCAGGACCCCCAGATCAGGTACACCTGATGAGAGAGCACAAAAGACAAAATTATTTTGGGGAAATAAGACATGGTTGTACGTTCACGGGCACAAAGCGCGACTTGGACATGCCTTCTACCATCTCCTCGTTCTGGGTTTGAATCCTGTGGAGATTCCGGCTTATCACCACCTCTCCACCCAAAAATTTAGTTCATCGATCGAGTGTTCTATTTAATGCCTTAGGTCCACCTGAGGTCAACCAAATCATGTGTTGTCAGCTGCCTGTAGACCTTCGGAGAGGAGGTCTAAAGGCAGCTGACAACACATGATTTTTTGAGGACCAAATTTTCCTGGCAAGCAATCCCAAAAAATTCAGCAATAACTATTAAAATTTGCAAAAACATTTTTGGACCCTTCAAAATTAGGGTTTGGAAGGAAAATCATTCCCCACGTAGAAATCCTTCATGGATTAGGGGCTATCCTTCAAAATTGCCTTCTCTGTCAAACAATGAACAACAATAGGCCTCAAATGAAACCAAAAAGTTGAGTACCGTAGGGTTCAGCAATAGGTTACGAATGGCTTACCCTCTTCTTTAGGATGAGAGTATCTCTTGAAAGTTAAAAATTCCAAAAAGTATCACTGGAAGCTATGATACTCAATTTTTGGCTTTAGCTTGGGGTCAAATTGTGGTCATTGGAGTGCAATTGTGGTCATTTGAGTCCAATTGTGGTCATTGGAGTTATTGGTCATTGGAGTCGAATTGTGGTCATTGGAGTCGAATTGTGGTCATTGGAGTCCAATTGTGGTCATTGGAGTCCAATTGTGGTCATTGGCATCATTGGAGTCCAATTGTGGTCATTGGAGTCCAATTGTGGTCATTGGAATCATTGGTCATTGGAGTCCAATTGTGGTCATTGGAGTCCAATTGTGGTCGTCATTGAAGTCATTGGAGTCCAATTGTGGTCATTGGAGTCCAATTGTGGTCATTGAAGTCCAATTGTGGTCATTGGAGTCCAATTGTGGTCATTGGAGACATTGGTCATTGGAGTCCAATTATGGTCATTGGAGTCATCGGTCATTTGAGTCCAATTGTGGTCATTGGAGTCCAATTGTGGCCCATGTTATAAAAACTATATCTCCAAGCCATTAAAAAAAAGATTAGATCCGTGGTCTGGGCCATCACAGTTGGCCATCACCATGGATGGTCTTGAGTGGCACTGTTCTTTCGCTTTGTTGGGCTATCAAGACTTTAATACCCTACCCTAACAAATTTTTGGTGTGCCCTTCCACAGCTAATTTCTCAGACAAAATTAGGTAAGATACGTTGATGAAACTTGAGCACTGACATGGGTGTCCCATGGTCATCTCGCCCAGGATTCAAACAAAACAGATGGATGAGGAGATAAAGTCACAGAACAGACACACATCCATTCACAGAAGATACTCCTGGAGCGGCCACGCTGGACAGAGGGGGCTGGACGGCCATCCTCATGCCTAGAAGTAGCATCCTGGTGGTCCGAAAGGCCGAACAGATCCTGTAATAACCAAGAACCTCCATCCAAGACACAACTTCTCATAGACATCCCCCTCCCCCTCAGCCCTCGAACCCATCCCTGGGATTCAATAAAATTTCAAAACTCTTAGATGAAACTTGAGAAATTTGCACCTCGGTCTCTTAACTGCTTACAGGATAACTGAATTTGGAAACAATGACGGTAAAAGCTGACTGCGCCAAGGTGGCATCTTTAATGGATGTCAATCAACATGGTTGGTCTGGCATAAATATTTAGCAAGTTTCACTAAGGCCTAGTTAAATTTGGTCACCGTAGGTTAGGACAATGCGACAAACCATCTACCGCTGAGTTGCTGTTGTTCTCAAGGTGCCCTGGCAAGTCATAAATGTTCTCTGTAAGGTTCTTTTTTATTGAATCCAAGGGTTTCAAGGTTTTTTGCTTAACTTCAGTTACTAAGCAGACCAGCCCCAATTCCCATATCACCACGTGAAAGACACAGAGCAGCAAATGTACGAATGGGCCAAGCCAATCACCAAGACAGTCTTTTGGTTGCATCCAATTCCCAGACCACAGCCACACATTTCAGGCACTCTAGTAGGGGAGCAGATAGACCGAGAGGGGAGCAGGAGGGTCGAATCAAAGAGGGACAACAGAAAATTGACTTCTCAATGGCACATGCAAAGGAACATTGGATGGGGACGGTGAACGAGACACAAAAATGAAGACTATACATAGACAGAAGGTAATTATGGGTCCATACCAAAGGTCTTTATCCTAGAGAATCTAGATTTCCAAATTCCATTGTATATATTATGTTCAACTAAGATCTAAGTTCTTTATTTTTTATTAAGGACTGGTAAACCTACAACACATTCATTACTAAACCCAATGGGCATTACCCAAAAACAGCATCTGTATCATCTATTCCCTTAAAACCATTCTAAACTAATACATTGAAACTGATCTAATGATATCGTGGTGGGCCCCTTAGACCCAATGTTCTTCTGGGAAAGTATTAGATTATAGACCAGGACAAGACATAAATTAAGGCACATGCAAAAGAGTATAGCCCTCTGCCGAAATTGTGGTCATTGGAGTCCAATTGTGGTCATTGGAGTCCAATTGTGGTCATTGGCATCATTGGAGTCCAATTGTGGTCATTGGAGTCCAATTGTGGTCATTGGAATCATTGGTCATTGGAGTCCAATTGTGGTCATTGGAGTCCAATTGTGGTCGTCATTGAAGTCATTGGAGTCCAATTGTGGTCATTGGAGTCCAATTGTGGTCATTGAAGTCCAATTGTGGTCATTGGAGTCCAATTGTGGTCATTGGAGACATTGGTCATTGGAGTCCAATTATGGTCATTGGAGTCATCGGTCATTTGAGTCCAATTGTGGTCATTGGAGTCCAATTGTGGCCCATGTTATAAAAACTATATCTCCAAGCCATTAAAAAAAAGATTAGATCCGTGGTCTGGGCCATCACAGTTGGCCATCACCATGGATGGTCTTGAGTGGCACTGTTCTTTCGCTTTGTTGGGCTATCAAGACTTTAATACCCTACCCTAACAAATTTTTGGTGTGCCCTTCCACAGCTAATTTCTCAGACAAAATTAGGTAAGATACGTTGATGAAACTTGAGCACTGACATGGGTGTCCCATGGTCATCTCGCCCAGGATTCAAACAAAACAGATGGATGAGGAGATAAAGTCACAGAACAGACACACATCCATTCACAGAAGATACTCCTGGAGCGGCCACGCTGGACAGAGGGGGCTGGACGGCCATCCTCATGCCTAGAAGTAGCATCCTGGTGGTCCGAAAGGCCGAACAGATCCTGTAATAACCAAGAACCTCCATCCAAGACACAACTTCTCATAGACATCCCCCTCCCCCTCAGCCCTCGAACCCATCCCTGGGATTCAATAAAATTTCAAAACTCTTAGATGAAACTTGAGAAATTTGCACCTCGGTCTCTTAACTGCTTACAGGATAACTGAATTTGGAAACAATGACGGTAAAAGCTGACTGCGCCAAGGTGGCATCTTTAATGGATGTCAATCAACATGGTTGGTCTGGCATAAATATTTAGCAAGTTTCACTAAGGCCTAGTTAAATTTGGTCACCGTAGGTTAGGACAATGCGACAAACCATCTACCGCTGAGTTGCTGTTGTTCTCAAGGTGCCCTGGCAAGTCATAAATGTTCTCTGTAAGGTTCTTTTTTATTGAATCCAAGGGTTTCAAGGTTTTTTGCTTAACTTCAGTTACTAAGCAGACCAGCCCCAATTCCCATATCACCACGTGAAAGACACAGAGCAGCAAATGTACGAATGGGCCAAGCCAATCACCAAGACAGTCTTTTGGTTGCATCCAATTCCCAGACCACAGCCACACATTTCAGGCACTCTAGTAGGGGAGCAGATAGACCGAGAGGGGAGCAGGAGGGTCGAATCAAAGAGGGACAACAGAAAATTGACTTCTCAATGGCACATGCAAAGGAACATTGGATGGGGACGGTGAACGAGACACAAAAATGAAGACTATACATAGACAGAAGGTAATTATGGGTCCATACCAAAGGTCTTTATCCTAGAGAATCTAGATTTCCAAATTCCATTGTATATATTATGTTCAACTAAGATCTAAGTTCTTTATTTTTTATTAAGGACTGGTAAACCTACAACACATTCATTACTAAACCCAATGGGCATTACCCAAAAACAGCATCTGTATCATCTATTCCCTTAAAACCATTCTAAACTAATACATTGAAACTGATCTAATGATATCGTGGTGGGCCCCTTAGACCCAATGTTCTTCTGGGAAAGTATTAGATTATAGACCAGGACAAGACATAAATTAAGGCACATGCAAAAGAGTATAGCCCTCTGCCGCCCCCCTACTGTGAGGGTGAGAAAAGACAGAATACACACAATAGAGAATTCTGGGGAACAGCAAAAGCACAGTCCACAGCTAGCATTGCCAGTTGCATCAGCACAGCGAGGGTCCAAAAGGGGGGGCACCACATACAGTTACAGATCATAAGGAAAGGGTTGGGGGGGGGCTCAGTAGTTTGATTATTATGAGACAAGTTGTAACAATTTTCAAAAATATTTGTCAAAAATCAGGCGCCTCTTTTTAGCAAATGCATCCACAGAAAATGGCGGCAGATGATGGTTAGCGTCCAAATTCTTCACATTTCCTAAAATTTTGCGTCCTTGGGTATGCAAAGTCAAGGTGTAGCTTACCCTTTAAGTAAAAAGAGTCTGAGGTTCAGTTTGTTTCGACTGGATCGAATTGTGCTATTTGGTTGGAATACTTTGCCATTCACTGTTAGTTTTTTGGGTTGGGTGGTTGGACCACGGTTGGTGGCGTATTGGCCAACGATACCAAAGGCAAGGTTTGAGGAGGGGCCAAGATCTCTCCAAAAATGGAAACAGGATAACACAGAGTTTTTCTAATGGAAATCCTTCAAGAAATTGTTCAATTATGGGCCCCATAGAGGAACCGGGCCCAAATGATGACATTTTAGATTTGAATTGGTGAATGGCCACAAAGAAACCTACTGAGGATGCATTTGTAAAAGGAAGTCACCGCTGGGTTTTATGGTGCCCTGTACAGCCTAGTTAAACAGTCAGTCTCGCACGGCACATAAACTCCAAAACTTCACAGCACTACATGCATCCTAAACACCACCGAGACCTCCCTTGGAGCCACTCCTCGTGGGCGGGGCTTGGAGGAGGAAGAGTAGGGAGGAGGGTGAGGTAGTTAGGGTCTGAAATACAACACGGTCATTCCAGTGGATGCAACTTACAAGGGGCGGTGCTACGAGTCCCAGGGCAGCCAATGGACGCTAGGTATACGTCAGAGCGACAGAGTCATCTCATGATTTTGATTGGACCCTGGCACAAGGTGGGCGGGTTTCAAGCGGCAGAAAAAGAGAAGCTGTTTTGTTTTGGTCATGTGGTTAATAGAAATATTATTTTCGTTTTATTTCCTGCTGATTTATGTAGGTAAGCAGTTGATTTTCATTATTTTTTTTTTTACATAAAACTATTAAATGATTATATGGAAACACATCAATTTAACTTTATTAACCACCCGCAAAAAAATTTAGGAAAAAAAAAAAATCTGGCCTAGGGTTCAAAATAACGAAAAATTAAGCATATTACATTTTTATTTTGGTGATTGTATTGTAATAAATCAAAACATTTTACCAGGACAAGGAAAGGAAAATTGCATAAGGCCGGAGCACCCCAAAAAAAAAATGGTGGGAGCTTCATTTTGTGGTCAGAGTAGCCTATAGTTTTTGAAACTTTTTTAAATGTATTTTTTTAATAAAGTCCCTGCAGAAAAACTCAAAACTTTATTGACATTGCTAGATCGCATGCTCTAGGATCCCAAATCCCATTTTCCAATCAATGCACTGCCTATTTCGGGGAAATGTTCAAAACCCCGATGAGATCATTCGATCGCGTCAAGATTTCCGAACCACGCCCCTCTGAGACCTCCCACTTCTTGAGCTTTAGGAAGTTGACTATTAATGTCGTTGGGTTAAAAAAAAAAAAATTCTGTTGGGATCGGTGGATTATACGGGAAGCCTCCTCGCCCAGTGATGACCTCATTCGATCACCATGTCAAAGGTCCACTGGGATCAGATCTTCCGCTTTCTCTCTGGGCTGTGCTCGTGTACAACTGGAAACAGCAATTAAAAAAAAAACGATAATGAACGGAAAATAAACCATGGAAAGACAAACTGTTCCAAACAGGAAAGGAGACAGAAGTAGGCACGAGGACCAGACTCACAATACGGCACCAGATAACACTCAACGGGCCCTTACCACAAGCCTACGACCGGCCGCGTTATGGTGGCGCTACGTACAAGGCCCCAAACTATTTATTTTTCCTCCCAGTTTTCTCCTGATCAGCGTGATGTTGACCCAGACAAACTGGCCTTTGAGTTTCATAAAGTTTTAACGTTAACATTAACCTAAAGCTCCTTCTGGCTTTGGCCTACAGTCTTTGGGAGCTCAAGAGCTTTGTTGGCTTTTTCCCATTGGTACCCACCTGAACTCCTCAATAGGGCCGGTTGGCATCTTTTGGTCTCTTTAGTTGTACTTTGAGTCTCTTCATACCAATCTGGAAACCGTTCATGGCCTGAATGGCAGCTTGGGCACTGCCGGGATTGTCAAAACTTACAAAGCCTGTGGGAGGACATGGAGACAAGAGAAGGACATCAATGGAGGCTTCAACGGACTTGGCAACAAGGTATTGTTATTCGCCATATAAGCCAGCCCGGGTTTGCCAACATAGAGTTGAAGGCTTACTCACCGAAGCACTTGCTCTGATTGGTGGCTCTGTCTACAAACACTTTGGCGGAGATGACGTTACCGAATGGTAGGAACATCTGAAGGATCTCCGAATCCGTGAACTCTTGGGGCAGGTGGTAGATAAAAATGTTGCAGCCCTCCGGACCTAATGTAAAATAAGACAGAAGGGCATCAAGATATTGGATCTCACGTCTTTAGATGGTCTTAGGGGGCAGTTGACAGAAGGTAGATGGCATACTCACCCTCTCTTTGTTGTTGCTGTTGTGGGGGCTGCTGGGTTAATAATGGTGGAGGCTGCGTAAAAGCTGGGCTCACCAGGCCGTAGGCTGCAGGATAGGCAGCTGCAAAAGGAAAACGTAAATGAGATGGGGTACCAGACATAAAAGGGGCAACTGTTACAGTTAGGGCAGAAGGTTAGGGTTAGGCACAGGGCTAGACAGATATGGTTAGGGGCATTGCCAATGGCTTAATGGTTTCAACCCTCTGCTCTTCCAGTACCACAAGCCACCCAAAGATATGGCCCGGCTCCTGCAATATTCTTATTCCTGTTTACCTGTGTAGTGCTGCATGCCAGCATAGGCTTGCTGAAGAGGGTCCAATTGGGTCACCGGACTTTGGGCTATAGGAGAAAGATATAGAGCGTTCCATGAGGAGCCTCTACCAAACAGGTAGACTAACCAACACGAAAATACCTTACATAACAGTATTACCTGGATATGGGTGAAGGCCATTGGTATAGATAGCCTCCGAGCTATTCTGCGAGAGAACGCTGCTCTGCGTGGGCACTGCGCTGTAGCCGTTAACTCCCAATGTTGCAGAAATGGCTGATACTGGTGTGGCTGCAAGATTGGGTGGTGTACTGGTACCTGTGCAGACATAACAATGATACGATGAGCTGCCGTTATGTCACAAGGAGTCCATTTATGCTCTTGTGGTAGGGCAGGGTAATGTCCACGATCGCAAATATTGTCTATGACTCCCCAAATGCTGAATATAAAAAGTAAGTCATAGTCAATTGGATTTCTTCTGCAATGTAGAAGATGGTTTACCATCATCCGAGTAACTTTTTCAGTCTGAGTGAGCATGAGGAACTGCTTGGATGTGTGGTGAAACGTCCTCAACGTTACAAAACAGGTCCAACTGGATGTGACTAGCTACTACCAGCTATACCATGACCTTGATAAATGAGAACCTTCACAAACACGTATGTGAAGGAACTTCCTACGATCTGAACCCCCAAATTCTTTACTTTCGTAAGAGAAACTTTCTACTTTATAGGACCAGAAGCTTGTGGACACCCGACCATCATACCTCATGAGCTTGATGCACATCCGTTTCCAAAAACCATGGGCATTATCATGGAGTTGACCCCCCTATGTGACTACAACTGCCTCCACTCTTCTATGAAGGCTTTCCACACGATTTTGTAATGCCTGTAAGTACCCATTCAGCCAAAAGGGCATTTGCGAGGTCAGGTACTAATGTTGGTTGAGAAGATCTCGAACAGAAAAGGGCCTTCACCAGACTGTTACCACAAGGTCGGAAGCCCCCTATTGTTTAAAATGAATTTGGAATGGGGTTCCCCATACTTTTGGCCATATACTGAATGTTCCATACTTCATAAATTGCCCACACGGTGGGTAATGTGGCAAACTTTTCACTTGATGGAAATAAAGTCGGTGACATCCATATTTCTGGAATGGTCTTCTGTGGTAACAGTTTGGTGAAGGCCCTTTTCTGTTCCAGTATAAGTGTGCCTCTGTGTACAAAGCCAGATTCCAATTTGTTTTTAGGGTTTTCTACCTTTTTAAAGGGTTCTTTAGAAAACGTCCTACAGAGAAGGTTCTACTCTTCTGATGTCCAAAAGGTTCTACTTTCCCAAGAGAAGCTTTCTGTTGTCTGGACCCCCCACTGGGAATTCTGGGAGACATCTCAAAATTTGGGACTCCCTATAAATGTTTGAAACATTTGTGCTTCAAGAAATGTCTACAATCCTTTTTATGGATTTTGAAGAGAAATGTGCCATGGCCTACCTGTCAGGAAACTAGGGCTACTGACACAGCACGAGAACAGCCCGAGTAACCGCACGCGCTGTGGCACGCGGACATGCGCATTGTAACCGATTAGCATGGGCGCATTGCGGTACGTCAGGAGCGGCACGCACACTCCCGTTACACCTATTGGCACCATTCAGCCTATTTAAACACTGAGCAGCAACCTGCTAGTTGCTGGAGGATCTTCAGCTGTACCTGTATCTGTGTTCCTGCATCTGACTCCTGTATTGACCCGCTTGTTCCTGATTCCTGTTGTCTGCTGCCTGCCCTTTGACCCCGGCCTGTCTGACTACTCTCCTGCTTCCTGAATCGGCTCTGACTATCTGTTTGGCTCCGACCCGGCTTCCACTGACTATGCCCCTGCCTACGATCCTGCACCTCCTTGCCTGCCAACTACTGATCCGGTCCGCCTTACTCCGCTTCCTGCTGTTCTGCTGCCATCAGGTCTACAGCTGCTCCTCTGGAACTGGAGGGTCCTGCATCCGGTTACCAGCATCACCCCTCATCGCTACCAGCGGGTCATCAGCATCTACAGGCACTGGTGTCTCTCTCTGTCCGTGCGCTACCTGTGCCATCCTCAGGGGTGCTCTGAGTTACAAAAGGAGCCTCCCTCATCGCTCAGGCCATACCAGGTACGTGGCGCTACCCTTCCAAAATCCCCAACTGAGAAGGATCTCCTCCGCATTACCACATTTCTAGTTTCTCAAATTTTTTACAAAATTGTTTCTTTTTCTTTTATTAAACATAAATAATTTTTTTTTCCTATCGACAGTATTGTAAATTCTGACTTACGGATGGTCTCCAACCTGAGCATCTGAAAATTCCTGCTCTATAGGGGAGACCTGTGTCATCATCACTCCCGGAATCCTTTAGTCCTCTAGTCCCCCAAGCAGTTGGAGCCTTGGTCTTACCTGAAGAGGATGTGATTGGGGTGATGGGAGTGGCTATGATCCCGTTGGGGTTGATTGTCGCCATTTGCTGCATCTGGACGGCGGCCATGGTGGCCATGGGGTTGAGGTAAGCACTGTGCGCGGCCACCAGGGCGGCCTGCTGCTGCATTAGCTGCGGGGGGATGAAAAGACACAAACGGTGTAAGACAAGAGCAGGGAGGCCGACAAGGAGCCACAACACAAGACAAAGAAGGGAAAGAGGCGTCACCTGAGACTATGGGAACGTGGGGTGGTAATACCAATGTCAGCTGGAAGTGATGTCACTGGGGTGGTAAGGGGAAGCAGTCAATGATGTCACACAGAACAGGTGACATCACACGTGAAAAACACCAATGATGTCATAATGGATAATATCAACAGAGTTGGGTTGTCCCAATACTCATCGGGTCACAGAGTCCAAAAAAGAGGCCAGGAGCGATCTGAGGTCCACCTTGGTGGGACAAACCTCCAAATGCTGGATGGCAATGTCCTATGTGCATTGGTATGGGGAGGTCACATGGTTAACTCCAAAAAGGAGGGGTGACAGTGATGTCACAGCGACACGGTGAGGTCATGCGTCACACACACAGATAAACATCAAATAAGGAAGAGGGCTTGAATATACCTGGTCACTTACTGCCTGGGTGTACGCGCTGTACGCCCCGAACTGGAGGGCGATGGGGCTGAACATGCCGAGCTGATTGGCCACTTGCTGCATCCGGCGCAGCCCCCGCTCCTTCTCCGTGTCGGCAAATTTCACCACCAGGCTGGAGGAGGCTCCCTGCAAAAATGAGAGCCCAGGATGAGGTTAGCGCGGGCTAATAACACGAACCGCGCACGACTGGCACCACGGGGTACACGACTGGCGCCACGGGGTACAGGGCGGCAACATGGCCGACTCGCAGGTGGCACCGGCCCGTACTGAACACATTTTCGAACAGCCACCACCGTTGTTGCTGGAAATAAGTCACATGACTACCCTACAGGAGGATAAAGTGGCTGAGCCGTCATGGCCGCCATTATACAAGACACACATGACTTCCACAGAGTAAGCACACATCTACACACAGGGGTCGCTCCTCGTCTTACCGGCAGTGTCCGACTCCCGTGAAGTGCGTTGATGGCCGCCTGCGCCTCTGAATGTGTCTGAAACTTCACAAATGCACAACCTAAGCGCGGGAGATACCACATTACTACACGACACACGGGGCAGCACCGCAACACAATGATCACACAACTGTCACAGAATGGCCGCGCCGCGTCACCTGTGGTCGACCTCCTTTGGGGGGGAGTGAGGCCATATGGTATCACAGCGCCGCTCCACCCCAAAGCTGCTGAAAACGCAATACGGGCCAAAAAAGCCCAATATGGCCGTTCCACTTTAAGTGACCGGCACACTTTAAGGAAGAACTTCAGGCAAATACAGGATAAAAAAACACAGCCATTGTTCAGTTCATCCTGCAGGACATGAAATCCGCTTTGAAATCGAGTTGCCGCACACAAGCTGACCACTAAAATCAGGCTTGCCCCCGGCAACGGCTGCTCCGTGAGGGGGGTGGGGTTTAAGATTTGCCTGGAGTTGCCCTTTAAATGTCCATTAAGACCCCATCGCAGGGCTTATATGTACCTTTGCTGGTCCCGTCTGGTCCCCGGAGGACCGTACACTCGTCTATGTTCCCGAAGGGCTCAAACATCCTGCGGACGTCCTCGTCTGTTTGCTGCTTTCCCAGCATGCCGACGAACAGCTTGCGGTCCTCTAGGAAACGGAGAGAAGGTGAGACTCAAGGAGGGAACTTACTCCATAATGTACAGATGGTGAATGAATCCCAGTCCAATTACATTTTATTTGATGAGTCACATGACCCCCCCCTCCACTTTTTTCCCCTGTACATCTTCCAGCTGCTGCAAAGCGACAGTTTATAACAACTCTGTCAAGCTGGCCATAGACCAATAGTGTTTTATTCTAATACATTTGTATTTGCAACATTCAGGGGCCCCATGCCCAAATGGGCACCGCGAGGCCATTACCGTGCTGGGACGGAGTTCAGGCCTTTCAATCAGGGAGGTGAAGCATGACATGTGGGCGTTACCTAAAGAAGTCTGTATGCAAATTAAGCCTGGCTAGGAACGCCCACTCCTCCAGACTGATAATTCAATAGCTCCTGCCACCAACCAGCCCACTGATTGCAACAGGGCTGAGGCCTCTTGAGAGGATATTTGCATAACTCCTCCCAATAGCCCTCCCACTGCTTTCATCAGGGCTGAGGCCTCCTGATGGGGATATTTGCATAACTCCTCCCAAGAGCCTGTCCACTGCTTAAGACTCGAGATAATATTTGCCTAACCCCTCCCAAGAGTCCACCCACTGCTTAAGACTCGAGATAATATTTGCATAACTCCTCCCAAGAGCCCGCCCACTGCTTGCATCCAGCCTGAGAGCTCTTGAGAGGATATTTCCATAACTCCTCCCATGAGCCAGCCCACTGCTTGCATCAGGGCTGAGGGCTCTTGAGAGGATATTTGCATAACTTCTACCAAGAGCCCACCCACTGCTTTCATCAGGGCTGAGGCCTCTTAAAAGGATATTTGCATAACTCCTCCCAAGAGCCCACCCACTGCTTGCACCAGGGCTGTGTACTTAGGCAGGGTGCTGTGATGTGTTCAGGAAGCTATGTACAGCCCCCTGCCAGCTCCTCCAACCAGCTGTAATCTGCCTGCACTGCATAGAGGAGCACAGAGAACCCAGTGATGACATAATGGCATTAAAAGGGAAATGGAATTTAGAAATGTGATGAGGGGGGAGGGGAGGAGCCAGGGAAGGTAAGGTGGCAGAAGGAGATGGGAAGGTGACGCGTACGTCGGGAAAGGGCATGGAAAGGGCGCAATGAGAGCATCGTGGGCCATGGAAGGGTCACCTACCTCCCCGGCTCTCGCTGTCCGCGGGCTTCACTTGAATCGGTCGGTTCATCTGGAAGAAAAACATAAACGTCATTATCATTCCAGATCTAGAGATATTACACATCGGCGTCCGCCGGGTCACATGACCGGGGAGTGGCATCATCTGTCAGGGTTCTGGAGACTGTTAGAGCATTGCGGCGCCATTTATCAGGCATTGTACCGCGGCGCCCATGTCACCACGCACTGCGCATGTGCACCAACGCACCGCATTGGAACGCTTATGTGCGAACGGGCCCCGTAGATGCGCAGTAACTGGAGTGCTGAGGTTGCCTATTCCCGAGATCGATGAATGGTGTCGGGGGTTGGGATGTACTACCATACCATAGAAGTCCCTGGAAACAATGAAACAACCTTTAACCATATCCTGTAACATGCCCACAGTCCCTGGCAGTCCATAGAAACATTATAGCAACCTTTAACAATATCCTGTAACATGCCCACAGTCCCTAGAAACATTATAGCAACCTTTAACAATATCCTGTAACATGCCCACAGTCCCTAGAAACATTATAGCAACCTTTAACAATATCCTGTAACATGCCCACAGTCCCTAGAAACATTATAGCAACCTTTAACAATCTCCTGTTACATGCCCACAGTCACTAGCAGTCCCTTGAAACCTTATAGCAACCCTTAACAATCTCCTGTAACATGCCCACAGTCTACACTTTCCTATAACATTGCAGGAGTCTCTCGCAGTGTCTCTGACAGTCTCCGGTAAAGTAGAAGAGGTCTTTAACATTTTCTTGCAAAAGTGAAGCACAGACGGGCGAGTCTTTGGGAGCATGGATCCATCTGTTGTAAAATGGCGGGGTCATGTGACGTGAGAATGTTCTGGTACTGTTGCAGCTGCAGCAAGTCAGACAGAGCCCGCCTCATTTGCTGGCCGGAAGATGTCCAGCATCATCTAGGCCTTTTCTTCCCCAGCCTAACTATCCCTGGCTCCGCCCCCTTTCATTCTTTGGATTTCAGTTCTTTTAATCATGGAGGCTCAGGATCGCATGTGGGCGTTACCTAGTGTGGTCTGTGTGCAAATACAGCCTGCCTAGGAACACCCACTCCCCCTGACTGACACCCACCCATCAAGGCATTTTAAGATTTGCATAACTCCTCCGAAAGGCCACCCCAATGGTGGTTCTATGGTGGAGATTATGGTGGTTCTATGGTGTAACTATGATGGAACTATAGTGGTTCTATGGTGGAGACTATGGTGGTTATATGGTGGTTTTATAGTGTAGACTATGGTGGTTCTATGGTGGAGATTATGGTGGTTATACGGTGAAGACTATGGTGGTTCTATGGTGGAGATTATGGTGGTTATACGGTGAAGACTATGGTGGTTCTATGGTGGAGATTATGGTGGTTATACGGTGAAGACTATGGTGGTTCTATGGTGGAGACTATAATGTTTCTATGGTAGTGACTATGGTGGTTCTATGGTGGAGACTATAGTGTTTCTATGGTGGAGACTCTGGTGGTTCTATGATGGAAACTATGGTGGTTCTATGATGGAAACTATGGTGGATCTATGGTGAAACTATGGTGGTACTATGGTGGAGACTATGGTGGTTCTATGGTGGAGACTATGGTGGAGACTATGGTGGAGACTATGGTGGAACTATTACATAGTTACATAGTATTTGAGGTTGAATAAAGACATAAGTCCATCAAGTCCAAACTATTGTGTGTGTGTGTGTGTGTGTATAGGTCCCTGCAACTATGGTGGTTCTATGGTGAAGACTATTGTGGAACAATGTTGGATCTATGGTGGAACTATGGTGGTTCTATGGTGGAGACTATGGTGGTTCTATGGTGGAGATTATGGTGGAACTATGGTGTAGACTATGGTGGTTCTATGGTGAAGACTATTGTGGAACAATGTTGGATCTATGGTGGAACTATGGGGGTTCTATGGTGGAGACTATGGTGGTTCTATGGTGGAACTATGGTGTAGACCGGCGGTAGGCAACCTTGGCACTCCAGCTGTTGTGGAACTACAAGTCCCATGAGGCATTGCAAGCTTCTCATAACCACAGTCATGACTCCCATAGTCAGAGGCATTATGGGATTTGTAGTTTGACCACAGCTGTAGTTCCAAGGTTGCCTACCACTAGTGTAGACTATGGTGGTTCTATGGTGAAGACTATTGTGGAACAATGCTGGATCTATGGTGGAACTATGGTGGTTCTATGGTGGAGACTATGGTGGTTCTATGATGGAGACTATGGTGGTTCTTTGGTGGAGACTATGGTGGAACTTTGGTGGTTCTCTGTAAATTTCGGTAAGGTCGTACATCTCCACACCTAGTCCCAACCTGGTGATCATTGAGTAAAACTCTCCAGCTGCCCGTGTACCCCATTATTGATCTCCGATCTGATCTTCCATGGTCAGTAGATCATCAATGGTTGCAATTGCCCATTATAAGTGACCATCAGTGCATCTGGCACCTTGAGAACTATGGTGGTTCTATGGTGGAGACTATGGTGGTTCTATGATGGAGACTATGGTGGTTCTATGGTGGAAACTATGGTGGTTCTATGATGGAAACTATGGTGGTTCTATGGTGGAGACTATGGTGGTTCTATGGTGGAACAATGGTGGTTCTATGATGTAAACTATGGTGGTTCTATGATGTAAACTATGGTGGTTCTATGATGGAAACTATGGTGGTTCTATGGTGGAAATTATGGTGGTTCTATGATGGAAACTATGGTGGTTCTATGATGGAAACTATGGTGGTTCTATGATGGAAACTATGGTGGTTCTATGGTGGAAACTATGGTGGTTCTATGATGGAAACTATGGTGGTTCTATGGTGGAGACTATGGTGGTTCTATGGTGGAACAATGGTGGTTCTATGCTGAAGACTCTGGTGGTTCTTTGGTGAAGACTCTGGTGGAACTATGGTGGTTCTATGGTGGAGATTATGTTGGTTCTATGGTGGAGACTATGGTGGTTCTATGGTGGAGACTATGGTGAAACTATGGTGGATCTATGGTGAAACTATGGTGGTACTATGGTGGAGACTATGGTGGAACTATTACATAGTTACATAGTATTTGAGGTTGAATAAAGACATAAGTCCATCAAGCCCAACCTATTGTGTGTGTGTGTGTGTGTGTATAGGTCCCTGCAACTATGGTGGTTCTATGGTGAAGACTATTGTGGAACAATGTTGGATCTATGGTGGATCTATGGTGGTTCTATGGTGGAGACTATGGTGGTTCTATGGTGGAGATTATGGTGGAACTATGGTGTAGACTATGGTGGTTCTATGGTGAAGACTATTGTGGAACAATGTTGGATCTATGGTGGAACTATGGGGGTTCTATGGTGGAGACTATGGTGGTTCTATGGTGGAACTATGGTGTAGACCGGCGGTAGGCAACCTTGGCACTCCAGCTGTTGTGGAACTACAAGTCCCATGAGGCATTGCAAGCTTCTCATAACCACAGTCATGACTCCCATAGTCAGAGGCATTATGGGATTTGTAGTTTGACCACAGCTGTAGTTCCAAGGTTGCCTACCACTAGTGTAGACTATGGTGGTTCTATGGTGAAGACTATTGTGGAACAATGCTGGATCTATGGTGGAACTATGGTGGTTCTATGGTGGAGACTATGGTGGTTCTATGATGGAGACTATGGTGGTTCTTTGGTGGAGACTATGGTGGAACTTTGGTGGTTCTCTGTAAATTTCGGTAAGGTCGTACATCTCCACACCTAGTCCCAACCTGGTGATCATTGAGTAAAACTCTCCAGCTGCCCGTGTACCCCATTATTGATCTCCGATCTGATCTTCCATGGTCAGTAGATCATCAATGGTTGCAATTGCCCATTATAAGTGACCATCAGTGCATCTGGCACCTTG